CAATATGTATGATAATCATGCAGCAGAGTCTCTGTTTATCATTTGTACCTTATATTGTATTAATATTAGGACTACCAGATGTGGGTTGCAAAAAATCTGCATCTAGGTTTTCTGTATCTCTTTGTTCCCATCTAGTGGTAGTCATTCAGATTTTTGCAGCCCACATCTGGTGTCCCTAGTTAGAATAATTATATTTAATTAAATCTCAACATTTTTTGTGGGGAATATCTAAAATTTCATAGTGAAGACTCAAACTTGCACAGAATTTGGTCCCTGGATGCTTATTTAGTCCTGGGTATGTTTCTCACGAATGAAAGCAATAATTAGCTTTAACTACCAGAGCTGAATGAAGATCAGGAATAAAACCATTTTACTAATAGCAAAGATACAACAAGTTTTGCATTATACTGTATTATGCAAAGGATAGAATTTTGTTGAAGTTCTGTCCCTTTGCACAATAGTCATTTCAAACTCTGTACTACTTATCTGTCAGAGCTTCCCCTTATCACAAATGAATATTGTTTGTTAGGTAGGCATTAGCTAAGTTTATTTATTCTAGTTTATACCATAAATAATATGACTTTGAAACATTAACACTTTTACATACTGAATCCCTCGATGTCTCATCTGCTGTTCCAATTAAGCATACTTTTTCAGCTAATTTAAACTGCCTCTGAGAAAAACCTAAGTGGATATCTGTCTCCAGGTACAGACCAAATATTTTAAGGGTGGAAGTATTCACCTTTGGGAAAGTGACAGCGCTTGAGTCCTCTGTATTTTTAATAAGCTCTCTGGACAGTAAGTTTGGATGCTTTGTTTACAAATTACGACTAAGGAATTAAAGACCTGTGGGTCCAGTTTAAAACTTCTTCATTATGTCTGTTGAGGAATATGCAGTTTAGAATGATTAATGAAGTCATCATTCAGAGTAAATTTTCCCGTTGTAATAAAAAAAAAAGAAAAAAAACTTCATGTGAATCACATGTCCAGAGACACTCCCCTTCCCCTTCCCCTTCCCCTTCCCCTTCCCCTCCTCCTCCTCCTTCTTCTTAACTTGGTTTCAAAGTCTGCTTGTTTTTCCACTATGTTCACTTAGTTCATGCAACAAAGCCATCAGCGCATGATGCAATGAGGGTTTTGTCTTTCAGCCAGCTTGTTGAAGAGCCTGAAAATGATAGGCTGAAAGGGAGTGATTGGACCAAGGCCACCTAATCGAGTTTTGTGCATAAGAAAATACAAGAACCTGAGTAATTCTGCTCCTAGTCTAGCCCCTTAACCACTGCACCTTACTGGGTGTCATGTAGAGACACATTTAAAGATCAATAATCAAGTTCAGGGAAAGAAAGTAAACAACATATCAGCAGAAATGGGTTACCAGATCAGAATCTTTAACTTGAACTACTTCGCTGAATAAAATATTTGAACAGAAACCCACAGCATCTGTTTTCCCAGGTGCTACGCCATCTCAGGTATCAAAAATTCCATCAAAAGCCTAATGAGATAAATGAACAGTAGAACACTTCTCGTACATGACTTAATGTAATATCTGTATCACTCTAACCTAAGAGCTTGAGGGATGGTAGACTGCATAAACCATTCAAATAGACAGAACACTTCTGTAATCTTTAAGTTCAATACCGCTCCAGCAAAATACCATAGTTGGACAATTCACAGCTATTAGATGCTAAGCCAGTCCCAAACTGTATGCCTCCCCTTCCCTTCCCTCCTCTCCCCATTTAGAACATTTAGAAAATGCTACTTAGACCCAAACTGTTGTGTCTTTCTCCTATCCTCTATGGTTGTTACCATCAAAGAATATTAATTGTGGCCTCAGCTCCAGAAGAACTCCTTTCTTACTTTAGAAGAAATGGACAGAATATAATTTACAGTATGTGTGTGTGTGTGTATGTATGTGTATGTATGTGTACACACACACACACACACACACACACACACAGACACAAACATAATTGTCTTTATGTGTTTACATTTTTATTATCATTGCATGTAATTTTTTATGTGTGTTGGAGTATCTGTGTGTGTATATATTGCATTGAGCTAAATGTGTTCATTTTGTTTAGCTAAACATATTCATTTTGAATATGAGCTAAAGAAGTTCATTTTTTCTCCCTATCATCACCAAATTATTTATATATAATAAATAAATGTGTGTGTCTGTGTGTGTCTTTGTGTGTGTGTGAAACAAGAGGAACTTAAAAGTAAAAAAAAAAAAGATTTAGCAAGGCTGAATTGACAGATTTGTTCATCCCTAATAAAAACAATCCAAGAAGAAATTATCCAAGAAAGATTAGGTTCTCTTAGAATCCTTCAACTTCTTAAGAAAGCAAGGTTAAAAGGTTGTTTGAGTGTCAAAGAAGAAGAAAGTGCAATCAAGTTTTGTCCCTCATGGCATCAAGTTGCTTATTGGGAGTTTCGTAGATGCGTCAGCCAATGGTCTACTTTGCTGTATCATAACCCTTTGGACTTTTAGTCAAGGTCAAATCAGACTAATTCCTCCTGGTGATGACATTTCATCCTGACAGAGGTGACAAGTTGCATGTTGGAATTTTAAGAAACATACATTGCTTTTACCCCTCCTGATGATTACTGCACAGTCCCTCAAGTACAATAATGATGTAAAGGAAATTAAAGTATCATTGGGAAATTTGCCTCCAAGGGCAAATCAAGGGTTATGTCTAAATCATCATGAAGTCTAAATCATCATACTCCAGATCAGTAAAGGATAGGCCACAGGTGAGATTAATCTGTTTAAAGCATGGCTCTTTCCTTCACTTTCTTCTTGGCTATGTGTAGATAAATCAAATGTGTAATTATCTAGTTCTCTTTTTATGAAGAATGTAACTGGCTTTTCATAATTGGCTTCTTTTTATCCATTTATCATTCACCATACACATTCACACACACACAATGTACCTGGGAGTCACATTACAGGTGCATCTTTTATTGGCAAACTCAACTAAAGGTGTTTTCCAGCACCAATGCTTAAAGCCTTTTCTCTAGGAATGCAAGGGATTTTATGTACCTCCTTAAATCCCTGTGTCTTGAAATATACAGGCATAATTATGCAATCCCTTTGTAAAGCAGAATTGCTTTTGTTTATTTTAAAGAATTTCTCATAATATCCAGCTGTATTTGCACTGGTGCCGCTTGTGTGTTTCTACATTCATAAACTGATTAATACAAATAATAATCAAATAATTGTTATAGTATAGTTGCAGTTTATAATTCTATAATGATATCAATTGGGCAGGATCCAAAGTGTTCACACCCAGATGAATCCAATGATCTACAGGTAGAGAAACAGGGACCTCACAAGGGCAAAAGACCTGATATTTTGGAAAGCAGGCAATTATACAGAATTTGCAGAAGATGACAGATTCAGAAAAGAAACCCAGTGTTTATTAGTTTGAGGGTTTTTTTTTTTAAATCTGAGAACAGATAATAGAGCTAAAAGGGCCATTTAAATGATTCATACCCCATATGGGAATACAAATTAAAACATTCGAGTCTCTACTTAAACACATTCAGTGAAGGGTAGTTGACAGCTTCATTTGATAATCAATTCATTAATGAATTGCTCTTAGTACTAGGACATCTGCCTTCATATAACTTAAATTTATCCTTCCACTTCCTGTACTCTGAAATTAAAGTGAATGGTTTGATGTCTCTTTAACTCTGTTAAAAAATAGAATGATATCTGCTACTCAACTATTTTTTTTTGTCAAAGCTAAGCATTACCAGTTCATTCCATCATTCCATCAAGATCCATGATCACCTTTACCGCCCTTCTTTGAACCTATTCCATTTTGTGAATATTTCCTAAAGTAAGAAGTTTTAAAAATTGATGTAATATTTGAGAAAGAGTCCGATCAAAGCAGAAGGAAGTGGGATTCTTACTTTCCTTAATTTGGATATTGTAGTATATTGTTGCAACTTAAAGTAACATTTGCCTTTCTGCTGCTGTATCATACTGCTGACTCATATTCAGTTTGTAATTAACATTTTTTTAAAAAATTAGATTTGTTATAGCCATCCAACTCTTGTTCAAGATATTTTTCATAAGACCTACTGTTAAGCATATAACTTTATACTGTGTATCTGCTCATTGGATTTATAATTCCTAAATAAATGCCTTTTCTTAGGTTAACAATTGCATTTGTCTCTGCTAAATTGCATTCTCAAGATCTTTCTGATTTCTGTTGGTCTCCTAGAGTATTATTAATCCCAAATAGTTCTGTGTCATCTACTGTACATCATAAGCAGTCTGTTCACCTCCTCATTCAAATCTTTATAATGAAAATATTAAAGAATACTAAGAGTATAAAAATATAATTTCTTCTTTGAGACAGTTATGTACAGCTCTGGTTGCAATTGCTTATTTGTGAGAATGTTGTTGTAGAAGAAAGGTAAGGAAATGATTAAATGCATCCTGTTTCATGTCTCTTTTGTACTGAAAATCATTCTTTCTCATAGTTGCCATTCCCTAGAAAAAGAACTTTTTTTCAGTTCATTATTTTCTCTTGAATGTCTGTGATGCATCTTCAAATCTGTGTTGTTGGCAGGTTTCCATTACCTAGCATAAATGTACTTCACACTCCTTTTAATGCAAAATGGGTGCTTTGCATGTTATTTGACCTTTCAATCATTGACTTCCTTTGATATGAACTGTCTTTTGCTGGAAGATCCAAGTCATTGTTTTCAAGATCTTTTTTGTTTTTCATTGTGTTGAAAGGATTATCTTCAAATAACCTTCACTTCTCCACTTACTCCCCCACCACAGGTGCCTTTTAACTTTTTCAGCCTTTTGGCTAAGATCAAGTGTAGTGTATAATTTATTGCCATCAGAAAATTATATATGTTTATTCTTTCTCAGGTTGTAAAATGAAACAAGGCAGGAAATTGTCCCAGACCAGGTAACTAGCAAGCTGGCACATGTTTGTTTGGTGAAGAGAGAAAGAAACAGCTATTTTGCCCAGGAGATGATTTTTGACAACAACACTGTTGTGAGTCACTTCATATTATTGGGTTTTTCTGAAGTTTCAGGAGTGCAGCCATTGCTATTTGCACTACTTTTGGCTATCTACGTCATCACTCTTTTCTCCAATGGTCTTATCATTGCAATAATAAATGCTGATCACACTCTTCACATGCCTATGTATTTCTTCCTTACACAGTTGTCCTTCTTGGAACTTTGCTATACTTCTGTTACTATCCCAAAGATGTTAGAAAATCTGATGGTGGCACAGGCAACCATTTCGCAAATTGGATGTGCTTTACAGATGTTGTTCTTCCTCCTCTTTGGAGTAGCCGAGTGCTTCCTCTTGGCTGCGATGTCCATTGACCGCTATGTGGCCATATGTAGACCTCTGACCTACCAAACTGTCATGAATAAGAAAGTGTGTATGCAGATGGTGGTTGGGTCCTGGGTCTGTGGGAGTGCTGTGGCAATAGGACACACCTCCTTTATGTTCAGCTTGCCATTCTGCCAAATTGCTATCAGTCACTTCTTCTGTGAGATTCAGCCACTATTGGAACTTTTCTCAATGAGGTTCAAGTTATTGCAGTGGCTGTACTGGCAATCATGGTGCCCTTCTGGATAATCATCTTCTCATACAGCTGCATCCTTCACACCATTTCCAAGATGTCTTCATCACAGAACAAATACAAAGCTTTCTCTACTTGTTCTTCACACCTCCTGATAGTCAGCCTCTTCTTTGGTACAGCTGGTTTCATGTATTTAAGGCCAAAATCCAGTTATAGACCAACAACTGACAAACTCTTGTCTCTGTTCTACGCAGTTGTGACTCCACTGTTGAACCCTATTATCTACAGCCTAAGGAATAAGGAATTCAAAAGAGCTCTGTGGAAACTATTTAAAAAGGATTTCTCTCACTGAACTAGTAATCAACATATCAAAAAATTGTGCTGTTATCACAAATACAATCTTGTAATAAAGTGAAATGCACAAAGCTAAAAACATCAAACCATCCATTGTGATTTTCAGTCCAAAAGCTGATGTGGTACAATGATTACAACAGTATCTTATGAAGGATGGGTGATTCAACATATTCCAATACAAAGGAGATCTAAGCAATTACTGGCACTTTTGGAGCAAGTCAGTTCTTCTCTCCTTTAAGCATCCAATCATGATTTGGTAAGCTAGACAGGAGTCATTAACTGTGCTGGAGGTCAGTAAATATATGATTTCTTTCACTATGGTAGGATGGATGGATGGATGGATGGATGGATGGATGGATGGATAGACGGAGGGAAGGAAGGAAGGAAGGAAGGAAGGAAGGAAGGAAGGAAGGAAGGAAGGAAG